TACGCCAGTGTTAATAGAATCATTTAGATAAATCCCTAAGCAGTCCTTTTAGAGGCTGCATTTTTATTCAATCAAAAAAATAAAAAAAAAAGCTCTCTCACTATCCTGAATAAATCTGCTAATCAAGGGTGTTATATGTTTTTAGGTGCTTCAAATTAAATAATATGGAAACATTTATTTAGGGTGTTTTGCTTTGAAAACTTCTTCAGCAAAACAGCAAGGCAACTAATCATTCCTGTGAATCTGTATAATGAATTATGCTTTGAATATGTTATTGATTGGTGGAACAAACAGACCATGACCCAGATTTTCAGTGTAGTATATTGAGATGTGGCTGGTGTACTCCGAGTCTGACAATTCTCTATTGATTGTGTAAATTAACTGGGACAATGACCCATGACTGTAGCATTACAGCTTTGCGGTTAAATATGCCATCAACCTTTTTATGCCCTGTGTATAATGTGAAATGGTCACCAAATTAATTTTGTCAGATATTGTCTGCATTCTAACTAGAAAGCAATTTTCATTGTCTGTAACGTGAATCTTTATGGTAAATATAAATGCCTTGATTCCAATGCTATTTAGCATTGCTAAGATCATTAAACATGAAATTTATTTATATATTCTATATTATGTATTAGCTGCTCACTATATACTATAGGGTCCTAGAGATAAAATGATGATCAAGACAATGCAACTCTCTTTAAATTGTTAATAATCTAGTGAGTACTAGAGTCAAGAAAGCAGGTCATAATAACAGTGACATAAATACTGTTTGTGGGATTTGCAAAGGGTGCTACAGGAGCACATAATAGAGAAACCCACCTAGTCTAGGATGATCAAGGTGAGAAGTCGAGGAAGGCTTTGTGGTGGTTGATTCTTCATTTGGAGACTGGAGGAAGAATAGTATCAGCAGAGGAATTAGCACATGGAAAAGCCCAGAGAGAAGAGAAAGAAAGCATACTTTGGGTCAAATGTTTGGGCTCTTACTTTGGTATGAAAAGCCTTTACTCTGGGATTGTATTAACTGTGGAATTCCTAGCTCAAGTCATCCTGAGGATGGCCATGCAGTGTCAACCATCTGCACATCTTAGAGTTGATCATCAGCCCAAATCCCAGGCCCCCATCCAAAACCAAGTAAATCAGAATTTCCGGGAGCTGGTATTTGGATTTTTTTAAAAATCTCACAAGAAGATGTGAATATTCGGCCAGGTTGAAAAATCACTAATTTCCATTATAAATCCTGGGAAATGTGTTGATTTAGCAAATTCGTAGGCAAGTTGCAAAGGCAGAAATGCTGTGCAAGGACATTGCTGAAATGAGCTGGCTATAAAGAAATGACCTCGGGGATCATATCCCCCTTATGAATTTAAGTGCAAAACAGTAATAAATGTGACTCATATTCTAGAACTGGCTTTTGACTTATTCAGATAGGTAGTACTTCACATGTTTTTCAAGTCAATTATTCATTTATTCCAAACACTTAGCTAGATTAACTTAGCTAAATGTCATATCCTATATAATAAAATCCTAATATGCAAATCAACCGAATAGTGGAATGAGTGGTCGCTATGATGCACATTAACAACTAGGGGGCAGACACTCAAAGCCAGAGCTGCCCCATGATGGTCAGTGTGCTCTCACAGGGCTCACGACTGGTTAATGCAGCAGAGTTGGCAGGAGCCTCTCCTGCCTCCATGGCAGCACTAAGGATCCCTCAAGGGATGTCTGCCTGCTGGGGTAGGCCTGCTCCTCCCAGGGAGTGGGCCTAAGCCTGCAGTCAACATCCCCCAAGAGCTTCCAGACTGCTAGAGGGTGCAGGCCAGGCTGAAGGAACCCCCTAAGAGCATAAATTTCATGCACCGGACTTCTAGTATGTATATATGGCATTCAAAAACTCCTAGTTTAGTGAAGAGACAATTTCTAAATAGTCACAATCCTGAAAATCATGTGACAGAACTATACAAAGCTGGGTATAAGTTGCCTAGCTGAGGAATGGTATAAGGCAATATCAGAAAATAGCTAAAGTTTGAAGGATGAATAGGAGATAGCAATTCACTGAAACAGAAAGATCTTCAGTGTGCTTGGAGCAAAAAGATATGAGGTGTCACATCCAAAATGGGGCTAGAAAACTGGGTTAACTACTGAAGGTGAAGAGACCTCTTACTCATTGGTGCCAACTAGTCACAACTCCCTCTGACTTTTTCTATGTAGCTGGAATGCTTCTTTTTCAGCAGTCTCCTATGGTTGACCAGCTAAAACACAGCTATAGCACTGAAGGGGTATGGCACTAAAAAGCCATCCTGTAAGCTGGCCTCTAATGATCCCTGCCTCCTAGGAGTCACATCCTGATGACACTCTCTCCTTGGAGTGTGAGCTGGACCAATAGATTCTTCTAAAAAATAGAATACTGTAGTCTAGCTCATTTTGCTCGGTGGTTAGAGCATCAGCCCTCAGACTGAAGGCTCATGGGTTCAATTCAGGTCAAGGGCATATATGTACCTTGACTGTAGGATCAAACCCCAGTCCCGGCTGGGGTGCTTGTGGTAAGCAACCAATCAATGTATCTCTCTCATATGGATGTTTTTCTTTCTGTCTCACTCCCTCCCTCTCACTTTCTAAAAAAAAAAAAAAAAAAAATAGAATACTATAGAAGTGCCCAATAGACACATGCAAAGATATTCAACATCATTGATCATCAAAAAAATGCAAATCAAAACCACAATGAGATACCATCGCATACCTGCTAGAAAGGTTATCACCAATAAATCACCAAACAAGTGTTGGTGAGGATGTGGAGAAAAGGGAAACTTTGTGCACTATTGGTGGGAATGCAGATTGGGACAACCACTGTGGCAAATGGTGTGGAGTTTCCTCAAAAAGCAGACTTATGACCCAGCAATTCCACTTCTGGTTATATATCCAAAGAAACCCAAAAAACTAGTTTGAAGTATATATGCCTCCCATGTTCATTGTAGCATTACTTATTACAGCCAAGATATGGAAGCAACCCAAGTGCCTATCAATAGAGGAGTGGCTAAAAAAGTGATACATATACACAATGGAATATTACTCAGCTATAAAAAAAGAATTAAATCTTACCATTTGGGACAGCATGGATGGATCTAGAGGGTATTATGCTAAGTGATATAAGCCAGACATAGAAAAATAAGTAACATATGACATCACTTTTATGTGATAAATTGCAAAATAAATGAACAAAATAGAAATAGACTTATAGACACAGAGAACAGACTGATGGATTCCAGAAGGGAGGGGTATTGGGATAGGGTAAAAAGGTGAATGGATTAAGAAGTAGTAATTGGTAGTTACAAAATAGGCATGAGGATGTGAGTTAAAGTATAGGGAATATAGTCAACAGTCCTATCTAATAAAAGAGTAATATGCAAATTGACCATCACTCCAACACACAAGATGGCCACCCTCATGTGGTTAAAGATGGCCACCCCTATGTGGACACAAGATGGCTGCCACAAGATGGCTGGCAGGGAAGGGCAGTTGTGGGAGATCAGGCCAGCAGAGGAGGGAAGTTGGGAGGTACCAGGTCTGCAAGGGAGGGCAGTTGTGGATGATCAGGCCTGCAGGGGAGAGCAGTTAGGGCTGACCAGGCCAGCAGGGGAAGGCAGTTGGGGGTGACCAGGCTGGCAGGGGAGTGGTTAGGGGATGATCAGGCTGGCAGGCAGAAGCAATTAGGGGCAATCAGGCAGGCAGGCAGGTGAGCGGTTGGGAGCCAGCAGTCCTGGATTGTGAGAGGGGTCCCATATTGGAAAGGGTGCAGGCTGGGCTGAGGGAAAAACCCCTCCCCTAGTGCATGAATTTCATGCACAGGCCTCTAGTATTATAATAACTAGCTATGGTGTCACGTGGGCACTTGAGTTATCTGAGTGAACACTTTATAACCTATATGAACATCTGTCCACTATGCTGCACACCTGAAACTAATACAAAAATAATGTTGAAAGCAAACTGTAATTGAAAAATAAAATAATAAAACAAAGAAAAAAAAGAAAAGTAAATAAAAAAGAAAATACAGAAGTGTCATTTCTAATATTGCGTTATAAGAGAGACATGGTTTCATTCTTAAGTTCGTTCTCTCTCTCACTCTCTCTCTCACTCTCTCTCTCTCTCTCTTCTGCCTGCCTCCCTCTCCAACTCCTTAATCAATCCTTCACATGAGACTGCATTCATCAGAGGCACTTAATCACCATTCACTTAGTGTTCCTGCAAATTCCACATCCTCTATGAAGACCTCACAGGTTAGCCCCAGAGAGCTATTGACTGCCCCTTGGGAAATAAGGTTTATTTCATGCCTGAAACCTGTAAAAATAAGGATGAAGAACTAAGGGATTTAAAATCTGTTCTGATGCTACCACTTTTAGAGGCAAGGTGATGAACATTACAGTTGCTGACAGTATTAAGACCATGGTCTTATGGTACTCGTCCATCTGAGCTCCATCTTCCTGTCTCTTCCCATCACACACACCACCAGAGTGTAATTTCAAAGTATGTCATGTTCAGAGCTGAACCAGTACTCAGGATGGCAACTCGGAGCCCATCTACAGCCAACCTTTTGTCCATTGGGCTACCCTCTTTTCATTTCTATTTTACCACAGTCCTGAAGTTTCGGATGATTTGGACTTTGTATGGGTATGCAGCCTTTCTAGCCCACCTTTTATTTTATTTTAATATGATGTAATTTTTTTCTCCAAATGTCCCCGAAAAAATGGTTTGCATGGTGAATTATAAACTTGCCCAGTCTTATTCTGGCATAGAAACCAATTTGAAGAACTGACTCTACAGTAAAGACTATTAGCTAAGTAAAAGCATGTCAGCCTTTGACATGTTGATTTATTTGTGTAATTAAATATTTGAGAAGGCATGGTTAAACTATAATACTACAATATTTTAGAATCCTTCTAAGTAGACAGTTTATTATGTGTTTAGAACCTAACCCATTTCTTCTCCACTTTGTAACACAGGAGAAGAAAACCTCCTGGCAATTTTACGACGAAGATGGTGGAAGTATATGATGCTGGGACTCATAGACCTCGAGGCAAATTACCTGGTGGTCAAGGCCTACCAGTACACGACTCTGACCAGTATCCAGGTATGATGGCTCTTCTTCCCTTTGCAGCCTCCTCAATTTCCAGATGTCGTTTGTTTTCATTTCAGTCATTTAGGAATCTGAATATTACTCTACAAGTTTAGCAATAGGAGGGAAATTGGTTGTATGAAAGTTAACTTAAACTTTATTTCTGTCTTATTAATTTTTTTAATTCAAGTGTAATTGAACATCTTTTTTCTCTTCATTCTTAATACACTATGATAATCATTGACAATGTAGGAAAATAATTTGTAGCTATGAATACTGTCAACTAATTTTATGTCAGGAGGAAAAGTATTATTCATAAGCATAAAATTAATCTGTTTCAATCACAACTCACAACATTATAGAATATGTCCATGAACTCTTATTAAATAATCAAAATGCTTAGTAATTTTTTTTTTAACTTTCTTTGATGTGAAGATTTTGCAACCTAAAAGGACAGAATTTTTCCTAAAGGGACAAGATTTAAATTCTTAAAATGTATTATCCATGAAGATAGGCACTGTATCTTTTCTTCCTCTCTCTGTTTTTCTTTTATGCATGTATGTACACAGACACACATGCATATACACAATTGCAAGATTAACTTAGGCTCTCACAAAACATCACCAATATTCCTTATTATATTATAAATAATAAGATTAACTATTTTTGTTTCACCTTCATTTTTCTTTTAATGGCAATATTTTGAATTTGTACACATTCCAAAGTTCCAGGATGAAACAAAACATTGTTAACCTATTAGATATTACTTAGATTTGATACCTCAACAGTAGTTCTGCCGTCCTAATATTAATAATTTGCTTAGAAACAATAACCAAAATGGAGAAACAAACCAGCAAACAAACAACCTGAATGAATTTAAATTATATAGATCGAATAGGAAGCTATCTAAACACAAGTTGGATGGGGCCATACGTGCTTCCTGCATGCCCAATGAGAGACAGGAAGAATGCTTACCTACAACCATGGAAGAAAAGCCCGGAGCTCTATTGGGATTGGACCACAATGATGACAGGGGATTCTACTGTAAGCTAATTGGTATAAATCTGAACTAAAAAAGAATGAGGTTTCTCAGATTGGTTTAGACAAATACTTCTCAATGAGAGTACTGCTGACATTCTGGATAGGATAATTTTTTATGATGTGGGTCCCTCTTCTATTTTATTGACCATTTGACATTCCTAGCCCCTGGCCACTACATGCCAGTAGCATCTTTTTTAGACTTTGTACCAACCAGAAGTGTGCCCATGATTCCCAAATAGCAGAGACATGCCATCTCTGATTGGGCATCACCGACTCAACAATCAGCATTCACTCCTGAGTCAGGGTTGGATCAGCCTCACCCAGCCCTGTCCCATCACCACAAAGGAACTCCCTATGGTATCCTATGAAACCACACCAGATTCACCACTCTCATCCCTCTCACCTGCTCAAATACTGATCTATTCTCCGTCTACATGATTTTGTCAACTGGGGAATAATATGTAAATTAGAATCATACAGTATTTAACCTTTGGAGATTAGCTTTTTCACCAAGCATAATGTCCTCACATCCATCCAAATAGTGGCAAATATCAACAGTTTGTTCCTCTTGATGACTGAGTAGTATTCCTCCATGGTATCAATATACCAAGTTTGTTGAACCATCATCCGTTTAAACATCTGGGTTGTTTCCAGCTTTGGGCTTTTACAAATAAAGCTGCTATGAACATTTATGTGCAGGTTTCTGTGTTAGCATAAGATTTCATTTCTCTGGGATAAATGTTCAAAATTGCAACTTCCAGATTATATAGAAAGCTGCTATTTGGTTTTAGAAACTGTCAAACAACTTTCTAGAGTTGCTATACCACTTTACATTCTCACCAGCAATGTATGAGAGATCTTCATCCTCGCCAGCATTTGGTGGTGTTTTTATTTTAGCCATCCTAAGAGGTGTGTAATGATATTTCATTGTGTTTTTAAATATATATATATATTATTGATTTCAGAAAGGAAGGGAGAGATGGAGAGAGAGAAAACAAAAAACATCAATGATGAGAGAGAATCATTGATTGGCTGCCTCCTGTGTGCCCCACAGTGGGATCGAGCCCACAACCTGGGCTTGTGCCATGACAGGGAATTGAACCAAAGAGCCACCCCAGCCAGGCTCATTGTGGCTTTAATTTCCATTCCCCTAATAGCTAATAATGTTCAACATCATTTGGAAAAAAAGATACATTATAACTTTGCCATTTCAAAAGCTAAAGTTAACAATGGCAAAAGAGGTAACATTTATTCAGGGAAATATAATAGAGACATTGAAGTGGAGAAACCCAGCTGTTTTCTTTATTAGAAAGTAAAAAGAGAGGTGGTAACACCATGATGTTGAATTTATAAGGATTTTATTTTAAAGACACATTTGTGGGTTTATATCTCAACTTGTACAGAATAAATAGATTGTGCCTATAATTTTGTGACAGATTAGCAATGACATTTGGTTAAATTTTAAAAGCTATACTATTTTTATAACTGTGCTATAGAAACCATTTCAGTAGAAATATCAGCTTTATAACTTCTTGCAACCAGACAAGCTGTCGCATGCGTATGGTGTATGTGAATGTTATCACGTGCTTTGCACTTGTGTGTCACGTAGAATTAGTCTCAGGGTTGGATATCTCACTGCAGTTGGGGAGGCTGGCTTTCATCTGGCTAAGATGCCGAGGTCAGAGCAGTGTGGCCAAAGGAAAACAATTAGGGTTAGAGGGATTTCTTTCTTCTCCTTTGTCCCTGCTGGAAACTGCCTGAAGGATGGGAAGACTCTGAAATGCCCATGTGAGAAGAAGAAGTGTTAGCAGTATAGACCCCTCTGTATGGTTTTCAGCAAGAGTCCTGGAAATTGTTCCCAATGTGAGCTCCTTTTAATGACCAAACTATCATGTTTGAAGAGACCTGGTTTCTTCTTACTTCACTAGTCATAACAGTAGCAAAATTACAGTTATGAAGCAGCAACAAAAATAATTTTATGGTTGGAGGTCACCACAACATGAGGAACTGTGTTAAAGGGTCGTGGCATTAGTAAGGTTGAGAACTACTGCTCTAGACCCTTTCTTGGGAAAGAAGTCAGGAAAGTCAGCTTTCTGTTTGAAAGCTGATCAGTGACCTCTCCTTTTTTAAGGGATCTTCTCTCTTTTTTTTCTCAAGGCTCCGATTTACAGGTTGAAGGCTGGACGAGGCATAATTTAAAGGGGACAGCCGAAACCGGTTTGGCTCAGTGAATAGAGCATCGGCTTGGGGACTGAAAGGTCCCGGGTTCGATTCCGGTCAAGGGCATGTGCCTTGGTTGCGGGCATATCCCCAGTAGGGGGTGTGCAAGAGGCAGCTATTCGATGACTCTCTCTCATCGAGGTTTCTAATTCTCTATCTCTCTCCCTTCCTCTCTGTACAAAATCAATAAAATATATTTTAAAATAATAATAATAATTTAAAGGGGACAATTAAATTTTCAAAAAGTTTTATCATTCTGTTTTGCTGGAAGAGGGTTCTGTAAACAAATTATAATATAGTGGGAAAGGTGGTGAAATGGAGCCATACACAAGTGTCATGAATTACAGAGGAGGAGTGACTGGCTCCAGCCACAGGGAGGACTCTCAGGAGCTTTCAGTGGGGTGGATAAGCCCAGGTTTTACTGACAACATGAATTGCCAGTAAAGCAGAGCCACTGGGTTCCCTGCCGATTATTAGCTCCAATGGCATTGTAGACAGATTATAAACAAGATGCCCTTAAATGTCTGCTTCTTTCTCCTGTTCTCTCTCTCTCTCTCTCTCTCTCTCTCTCTCTCTCTCTCTCTCTCTCTCTCTCTTCCTCCCTCCCTCCTTCCCTCTCTCCCTCTCTCCCTCCCTCCCTTCCTTCCCCCCTCCCTCCTTCCCTCCCTCCCAGTTTTCCCACTATCAGTACAAATTTAAAAACCTGCCTCCCCATGTGGTTACAAGTAGGCAAACAACATTGCATACAGTGGCCATGTTTTTGCGCCAGCTTTCAATGCTGGGCAAGTCCTTAGGGAAGGAAACTAGCTGTGAAGTGCAGGGAAGAAACACGCGTGTGTTGAACACTGTCCACTTGCACCTAGATGCAAAGAGATTACTTCATTCTAGCATCTCTTGCGCCTGAAGCAGTGCTGAGCATGCAGTAGGCACTTAATAAATAACTGCTGACTGAATAAATAAATGACAAGTACAAGGTGCTGAACATTTGGTTTTGCTCTTTTTCAGTTGAGTTAGACTTAGAAACAGACCCCCAGAAGCACAAGATGTTTTCCTTCAGCTTTTGAAATTGTTTCTCCCCGCTGTTTTAATGCTGGGAGGAATCAAAACAATGCAAAATTGATGTCGAATTAATATTTTATCAGAAAATGTTCATTTCCTTCAACATGGGCTTTGAAATTTGTACTTTCTTTAATGTTATTGTTAATGTGCTCATGCACAAGAATTCCATAAATAAGAAAAACACAAGTTAGTGTTGCTTGGCTGACTCAAGGAAACCACTTCTCCAAAAACAAGATGGTGCCAGTGTCAGAGACCCATCACTTCAAACAAATGATTCTAATTCTCATATGTTTTCTTATACCCTTCACCTCCTCTAATATAAAAACTGATTATTTCTTAAGTACCCTCTGAGCCTGCCATCCCCCCTGGAGTGCTCATAGTGTGAGAGGCAGCCCACAGCCTGCTTGCTGGAGCTCAGGCTGGCCTGGCCTAGACCACCACTCCTGGGCCTCAGCTGCTTAAGCTCACTGTGCAAGCAAGTGGCAGACCTGGGATCAAATCAGTTATGTATTACCTTTAGTGCTCCTATTTCTCATCTGTAATATAAGAACCTAGCATTGTGCCTAGTATATGGCAGGCACTAGGGCATGTCCATTCCTTGCTTTCTACTTTTGGAATCCAGTTGGCTGATCAGCACAGTTTGCTTTAAACCTGATTAAAACTCCAATGAGCCTGCCTGTTTTTTCTCAGTGGTT